AAGTGAATATGTGTAAAGATATTTATATTCTTGTATTTGGCTTACAGCAGTAACCTCTAAATTACTTTGCTAAATGAAGAATGAGTGATGCACTGTGTTCTGACGTTTGACGTAGAGCAGATGTTATTCCTCTCACAGACCTGGCTTTGTAACAAAGCGTGATTGCTGTGTGCATTAGCCCGCTGTTCCTGATTGCTGTACGGATATTGGAGTCATTTGGAGAAAACAAGCAGCCAAGCCGATTTCTCATCCTTCTTCTCTTTCATCATCATCTTCTTCATCTTCCATCACTGGAGAAGCAGGAAGGGAGAGAAATGTCAGGGATGCCGTGCTCGGAGCAGGAGTTTTTTTTCCAAATGCCAAGCATTTTCCTCATCACTCTCAACGGCGTTCGCACTGACGGCGATGAAATCTCTGGAGGCCTTCGAGTCTTTGCTGTTGGTTTCTTGTTGACTGCTCAACTTTCTAGTCGGCTGCATGCTTTCCCATTGGTAGTCGAAGCATCACCCACTGCTCATTTGCATGAAGTTGTCTCGTGTTGTTGGAAATCGATGTCTCATTGAAAATGACTGCAGGTTGCTTTGAGGCTACAAATCACTGGCATTCCTTCAGGGCAAGAAGTGCAAAATGCAATGAAAGTAAAAGAGATGGATGAATTTTAAAAAAAGAAAAAAAAAGAAAGAGAGAGATTATAGAGTGGTGCTCGGACATATTTTTGTTAGCATCCCCCTGGTTCCCTCAACAAAAATCCAGTAGGATTTTTCCACTGGCTTTTGGATTATTGCAGAAAATAAGGTCTTTTGACTAACAAAAGCTTATGATTCTTCAGCATTTTTTCCATGATAATAATCTGAAATCAAAAATGATGAACTTTTATGTAAATACATCGGCAGATGTTAAAAGCTAAATGTAAGCTATGAACAAACTACACTGCGGTTTCATGACTTTTTCAGTCTTTATTTAAAAGCATATTCCCTGAAAGTTTGAGTTATAAAAGTTTACAAGAGCACGCACGATTACAAAACACAACGAGGCATGTGGACTAGTGAGTATAGGCTGGGTATTGATACAGGTGTCCAGATTCGATTTTGATTTACAAGTTCTTAATTTGATTCTATTCTCAATTCAATTAATTTAAGGATTTAATTTTCTCTGGCCTCACCACAAAAAATAAATAAATTAATAAATAGTTATTGTTTTGAACCCATTAAAAAAAAAAACAAGTTTATGACACCCACAATTTTAGATATGAATTTAACAACTCTCGATTCATAATTCTCCATTTCGATACCACAGCTAAAACTAATTAGATTAGGCTATGTTTACACGGAAAGAGAAAACGCAAAAGTGGCGTTGTGTTATCACTTTTTATTCTGTGTTTAGACCAGCGTTTTGGGTGGGAAATCCGCGTACATACTGTAAGGTGACGCAAAAGTGTGTGAAATTCAATATAGTGTGCACTCCAGGCAGCTAGGTGGCAATGTGGAGCACCGCCAAACAACAACACCAAGTCCGCGCGCCTGCGGCAACGCGACAGTGGAGTGTTTTTAAGATTTCCACTCTAGAGGGTGGTTTTTAAGCCCCAAAAATGCCGTCGCCGTGTAAACGAAAGGCACATCCGATAAAATATTTTTACGTTTTCACCCGCGAGCGTTCTTGTGTAAACAGGGCCTTATTTAAAAGATTATTACAGAAAAGTAGCCTAAACAGTCAACAATAAATAAATAAAAATAACAATAGCACAAAAAAATAAAAACAATAGAACAAAGATAGAAATTAAATTCAAGGTTTGAAAGTTTTAGATTTTGTAATTTTAGTACTTCAACTTAATTTATTAGTTCAGTTCTAATTTTCAGTTTACTTTAATTTCCAATTGCATCTAATTGTATTTAATTTCAGATTTTTTTTTTTTTTGCTTTGCGAGAGGAACAGACTGAAGTCAAGTTTGAATATCTGTTTGTAAAAAAAAAAAAAAGTTTTGTGGACATTCTTGAGAATCTCTCTTTTTGTGTTGCACAAAAGAAAGAAAGGCATACAGGTTTGGGATACAGTATTTTTTTTACTTACTCAGTCCTCACGTACATTCCTCAGTGGTTTAACGTGTTTCCTGTAATAACCTTATCTGCTTATCTCATGGTGTTTGAACACTCTGGAGAAGTGATACACTGAAAAGAAACATCAGGAGATAAACCTGAGGCTAATGATCAGATATTTCGCTAGGGAAAGCAAGAGCTTGTATCTGTCGCATTGATTTCAAATACCTTTCTTGTGTTCTTTGGGAAAACAAAGCCGCACAACACCATAATTTATTAATATCATGATTACTCCAAAGCCTCTTTAATTACCCTCAAGCATCTTTGGGCGGAGGGGCAGTACGGATATTGATCTATAAAGAGACCTGGAACGAATCTGAGAGAAGATATTGATGAAACCAGAAAGAGAGAGAGATAAAGAGAAATGGAGCCAGTTTGCTGTTGTGACGAGTTAACCCCGCAGTAAAAGAGCTTCACAAATAGAAATATTTTACTCAGAGTCAGACTGGCAAAAGAAGAAACAATGAGTGAGATAAATGAGTGACAAGCCGAGGGAGCATGGGAAAAAGATAAAGACCAGATCAACGAGTGGGAGGATGAATGTATGAGATGAGATGAGATTGTGGAATGTGACACATTTGTAGCTCAGGACTGAACTAAAGCTCCAGCATGTTTCTGCTTTTTGGCAACAATTCAGTTTTTCATCCAATCAAATGAGAAATGAAGTGATTGATGTATTAAATATTAAGTTAAAGCAGGACTTTTGATTTCAGTGGCATGTAGTGGACTGAAATAAGGAGGAAAAATCCTCTCTCCCTCTCTCTCTCTCTCTCTCTCATATAGCTTGTCACTCGTATAGTGTATCTTAATATGAACTATACTTAAAAAATACATTTTGTAAAAAAAAAAATATATATATATATATTACAAAATGTCTTTTTAAGTATAGTATACATTAAGATAGTGATTTTAATAAGTTTAATGCCATAAAACTTTTACAAAATGACAGTTTTCATTTAAAGGGTTAGTTCACCCAAAAGTGAAAATTCTATCAGTATTTACTCACCCTCATGTTGTTCCAACCCCGTAAGACCTTCGTTCATCTTCGGAACACAAATTAAGATATTTTTGATTAAATTTGAGAGCTGGATCACTCCTCCATAGGCTTCTTAAGGGATCAAAACTGGCCGGGCCAAAAGTTATGAAAGACATTGTTAAAATCATAGACATAATATATACATAGACGCCCTATTGGCCGCTTTGGAACATTGCTGCGATACGTCAACGGGTCCGCCATTTGGCGGAGGTCAATACTGCATTGTAATTAAATGTAAGTAAACGGGTGAGCTGCGTTTTTCTGGATAAAAACATTCTTGGATAAGAATGGTGAAGATCCCCATACTGAGATATTTAAGTTTGCTCATTGTGGAAAAAGCATTTTATGTGATTGACCAGATTTTAGCAATAACATTGATAACTGATGGATCATTTATGATAATACATGTTGTGGTACAACTGGGCATGCAGTGCAATGCAAATAGTAATTATAACATAAAGTGAAAAGTACTAGTAAATAGTTTAGTCAATAAAATAAACAAATACTATACAGCAAATAAAATGGTAATGAATACATGTAAAAATATTGATAATAGTTTATTAATAATTCTATAATAATAGAATAAGACATTTCAACTACAGAATAAACACACACAAAAAATATATTTAATATTTAGCTCTTTGTGCTAAATTTCAGTTTTATTGATCAGTAATAGGCTAGCCATTATAACAGAAGTAGCTTCAGTCAAACATACAATGTTAAAATAGCCTAAATATAAAGTTATGAAACTTTACTTTGCCTTCAGCCAAAACTATTTACCAGGGAACAATTTATAGATTAATGAGACCAAAGATAAACACAAATTATACGAATTATATCTCATGTTTAACCTCTAGACTAGAGACATCCGAGCCAGCGGCAACCGTCAGAAGCACTGGCCGTGGTACGGCTGTTCCAGGCGGGGGAGACGAGCGCTGGGCGCAGCAACTCCGAAAACTTCAGATCAAATTTTTAAATAGGCTCACATATTTGAGCTTTAAACAACTACATTGTCGACTGAAAAACTATTAAAACTACATTGCATGACACAATAACAGTAGTATTTAATCTCTAAACGTTACTTACTAATTAAATCATGACCAAATGCAACCAAAAACAAACGTTCAGTCTTGCTTGTGAAAGGTACTTCCTCGAAAGCTGTTTTCAGTTGTGTGGCGATTTTTACAGCCCCAAGCAGCGCACAAAACGGGCATTTTTCTCAATTCCTGGTATGAGAGGTATGGGAAAGTTGATCTCCCCAATATGGCGGCGCCGTTGACGTACGCTCCAGCGGCCAATAGGGCGTCTATGTATATATTATGTCTATGGTTAAAATACTGTAGTCCAAGTGACTACAGTGGCTCAATCTTAAGTTTATCAAGTGACGAGAATACTTTTTGTGCACAAAAAAACAAACAAAAATAACAACTTTATTCAATTATTCATTTCCTTCTCAAACCTTCTGTGTTGTACGTCACACGCATCACACACGACCAGCGTCGGCCAATAGTGAGCCTGTGTATGACGTGCAACCTAGAAGCTTTGCACTATGCGAAATCTCACGGCCCACAAAGAAGGAAATGAATAGTTGAATAAAGTCGATATTTGTGTTTGTTTTTTGTAAAACATTTCTATTGTAGTTTGTCTATTGATGTGTTCTTTGTAGTCAGTCACCATAATTAACTTTCTGTTTATCTCACCAAAACCTTCTCTATTGTTCCACAAATTTGGCCTGACCACACCACTCTACCATATTCGATGTCCAGACTGCTCCGTCTCCGGCCTCATCACGACCCCCCTTTACCTCCCGGCCTGCTCTGCCAGCACCGGCCCACCCACCTTCTCCTTTCTCTGCCCCGTCTTTTCCACAGGTGGGAGATCAAATCCTCGAGGTCAACGGACGGAGTTTCCTCGGCATCCCACACGATGAAGCCGTACGAGTGCTGAAGTCTTCACACCATCTGATGATGACGGTGAAGGATGTCGGGCGACTGCCTCATGCCCGCACCGTAGTGGGCGAGACCAAGTGGATCGCAAGCTCGCAGATCACAGAGAGTTCTGCCAGCAGCAGTGTCACAGGGTGAGTGTGAAGGGGTGATGGGAATGTGAGGAAATAAGGAAAGAGTCATGGGAATAGATAACCTTATTGGTATCCAATTCAAATAATCGAAGGTTAGCAGCAAAGATATCCGTTAATAAAGTGAGATTAAATACACAAAGTATATTTGTGTTATTTAACATATTTAATCATGTTTTTGTGCAGGTGAGATGAGTAAATGCATACTCACATTAAGTCTAGAACTATATATAATATGTGACCCCGGACCACAAAACCAGTCACAAGTAGCACGGGTATATCTGTGGCAATAGCCATAGGTCAAAATTATCGATTTTTCTTTTATGCTAAAAATCATTAGGATATTTCCATAAAGATATTTTGTAAATTTCCTGCCCTAAATATATAGATTTTTAAAAATGTGAGTGGATGCATCAAAATGGACAACATAAATAGACAACTTTAAAGGTGAATTTCTCGATGTTTGTTGTTTTGTTCCAGATTCTCGAATAGTTGTATCGGCCCAAATATTGTCCAATCCTTACAAACCATACATCAATGGAAAGCTTATTTATTTAGCGTTCATTTGATGTATAAATCTCAATTTATAAAAATTGCTTTTGTGGTCCAGGGTCATATATAGTTATAGTCATATATATATATATATATATATGAAGAGTTCAGATGCAAAAGCCTCTAAATGCCATTTGAAATTTTCTTCTTTAATGATGATTTTTATCAAACTTGTATATTTAAGTTCAGTATTTCACTTAAATAACAATTAATAGGTAATTATCATTGCCATTTAAGTGAAATTACTGAACTTAAATATACAAGTTTGATAAAAAATCATCATTAAAGAAGAAAATTTCAAATGGCATTTAGAGGCTTTTGCACCTGAACTCCTTATATATATATATATATATATATATATATACACACTGGGGTTAATACTAAACCATAATGAACCTTTAATATATATGGGTGTAATATATAGCCTTTTCCGCACTCAAGCTTATGCATACTTGCCGCAAAGCAGTGTCAAAAGTAATGATTATGAATGTGTCAGGAAAAAATAGCAAGGAGATATTTTGATTATTATTATTAATCTAGTGTTTTCTGAGTCAGTGTTGACTACATAGCTGAAGTTGAAGTTTCTGACTCGTCATTTCTACAGTATAGTAATATATATATATATATATATAATCAGAGAGAATTTGTTTTCGATTCAAAATATTTTGTTTAAAAGTAGACATTTCTAACTTGCTTTCTATATGGCTATTTCTCATGTCTGTCAGCCAAGTATCCAATACGCTGACTTTTGGTTCATTTGTGACACGATAACACGATGCAGTCGAAGACGGAGCAACTTTCTGCTCGTAAGTTTATTCTGTGCACTGTCAAGTGCTTTATCAGATTTGTCATGTTGCCGATCTTGGCAGCAATTATCTTGTTGCAAATATTGCATTGTGGCCTGTTGGCATCGAGCCTGTTGAAATGTAGCGACACTTGATCTTTTCCACATCTTTTCCATCTATGGGGGTTGGGACACTTCCACACTATAGCCTCACATGTGAGCAACGTCTCTGTGTGTAACCGGCATAAGCTAGTGTTTTTCCTTGATGCCTCGCCACAGCCAATCATGCTGCACGTTTATTGGCTCACTGAAGTTGACGAGGTTAACTCCTTGGGTATCAAATTTGGCACTGAACAACACAACTCTTTTTGATTATTGTATTGTTTTGAGGCAATTCGGTCGGTGCCTAAAAAGTATCGATCTTGATTCCCAGCTCTAATGCTGACTTGCCATCTCCACAGTGTAGTACCTTTAGACATGGATTACATAATCAGAGAGTATTTGAATTGACCTATGGCTAAGCCACGCCCTCAAATGCGATGAGACAATCTCAGTGCGCATTCTCTGCTTCCACTTCCATTGAAATGCATTGGAGTTAGTCAGTTTTCATTCGTTTTTTTCTTGTTATTTTAAGTTTAATATGGTCAAACGGTGTGCATGGGGTACATGCAACTCTGACACTAGGTTCCTGAGAGCCTGGCCGACGGTGTGTATTTTTTTACCCTTGAGATAAGTGTCTGCTCTGGATAAAGTTATGGGTTAGCTAGACCACAACACCAACTAAACGCAGATAAATTAAACAAGGATGTCTACATCTGATCTAAGTTAAGTCAACAACGTATTTGAATGTTATCTTTAAAATCTCTAACGTAACGTTAGTCTGACGTTAGACGTACATTAGAAAGCATTAATGTTAGCTTCTAGCTGTGTTGTACATCATGTCAATTAAGTGAGCTTCATTAACATATATCTGTAAATAACCGAGATAACAAATGTTAACAATGTTGTGCTGAATGATTCAAGTAAATACTTTAGCACCAAACAGTTATCATGTTTACACTGTGACCTGTACATCTCTGCCTGGAGCTGAAGCTTTATTTCATCGACTTCTCAACAATAATATTATTAATATAACCCTCCAATGTATAGTTAATGCCCTTTAGTTGACTTCAAGATGATATATAATTTTTCTGTCTCAAAATCACCAATTGCCTCCTGTGAAATGTCTCCTACTGTGACAGCTGCCATAGCGCCCGTGCCGTGTTTGTCCGCGTGAGTGGAGGGGGCGTGGCTTAGCCATAGGTCAATTGGATCGTTTGACATTTCAAGCTTTCTTTAGATATACAGTATGTCTCTTGTCTGCGAGGCAAGGAGACTGTAAGCTCAGTTTCTGTTCATTTATGTAGTGCGTTGTTATTTTGAGTTAACTCAAATAAAAGTATCAAACTGAGGCTCTTCTCATCGACTAACGTTTAGTTGACTATAAGGGGGCAGCCCTAGTCAATATCAGCTCACTCTGTTTGAATGAGAGCTGTCAGTTGTTGTTGTTTTTTTTTGTGCAGTCATTTTCACAATAAGTATTTATGATAGAATCGATCCACTTGATACAATGTGAGTCCCAAGAATTTACACTTATTTTCGCACTTACACTTGCGTGTCTTAATCATTGAGACAAGCACATTACTGACAGGTTAAAAGAAAGGCAGCCAGACAGGAAGCCATCCTCTCATCGGCCTCCTAAAGAGAAGCATGCGGAGGTGAGAGTGGCTGATTATAGATTAGCCCTACATGTGGACCATCCTCAGTTGACCACACTCTCTCACTTTGCGGGGCTGGTGAGCGGAACACAGCAAGCATAACCAAGTCCTGTAAATCTAGACAAATAATGTGGGGGAACATTAGCATAGCTACTTCACGAAGAGGAAAAAACAGATTCTTCGTTCATTGCTTTGAATATTTCTAACATGTGAAAATATTAACGTCTATTTTTGACATGTATGGCTTCAAATATTTTTGTTGGAACAATTTATTTTATTTTATTTTAAATCACTCTAGTCATTTCAATAAATATGGAGTCAATCATGCCAAAAGACTGAAAAATAATGGGAAAAAAATATTGGCCTTTGCTAAATCTATTTTGTCAGACTGCACTGCTGGTCTCTTTGTGTGTTATCTGGCTAGTGTTAATGGAGAAGTGAAAAGGAAAATATCCATGGTCTCTAACTAGATTCATAAGGTTTCGGCATGTCATTTATAGACAAACTTGATGGTTTCCAACATCCGGCATGCAGAGAAGTGTGAAGCCACCAAAAGTAGCTTCAGTTCTCCTGCTCTCCTCATTACGTACGCACATCCCCGTCATCTTTCCTTGTGGCCGCAGTACGGGAACAGGATTGCCTAGCAAGAGTCAGAGCCACAATCGCCCTGTTCTGGTATATAAAACCGTAACTGAAAAGCCTGTGGAAATCATATAAATATATATTTTTTTTTTCAGACTTATGAGCAAGCTTTGGCCTTTAATATATTTCTAGATGCGTTTCCATGTCTGTCTTGTAAATTAAGCAGTATGCAAACTAATACTGAAAAATAGTTGCTGATTTGTTCATTTGTTGGCACAAATCACGCCTTGGTGGTGTGACTTAACATTCTTTTTTTAATATAGTAAATTGAAGATGTACTGTACATTTTAGCCAAAGTAATTTAATTAGGACTGAGGTGAAGCTTCCAGGCTTAGTTCAATTTATTGTTTTAAGAGCAGATTATACAATAGCTGAGCTTTAATTATTTTGTTCTGAATATTAGAATCTTTCCACTCTCTCTTAGTGTAATGTAAACTAGAAGAAGTCTGGGTAACAAAAGCATGAATTAACGCATATTAGTGCAACCGTATTGTACGGTGTTACCGAAGTCTGTTCATGTTATTATTCCAGACACTGCTGGCTTGGAGAATATGAACGTGTGTGTGCGTGCAGCACACTAACAGGATCATAAAGCAGCTCAGGTGTGTCTTGTGCCAGCTCTCTGGACCTTCTCTTTAATGGAGGTTAGCTGATGAAGTGAGCCGGTTGCTCTGCTCTCATGCCAGGGGGGAAAATGCAAGGTGGCGTTTTATAAAAAGGCTTATTATCAAGCTTCTGATGGTCTGGGGTGCGAACTCAAGTTAACGCCAAGGACAGAACTGGCAAAGGGAAGTGTTTGCACCTATCATTGTTATAGACCAAATTGACTTTTTGATAAATTGCTATTCTTGATTTGACTGCAAAAAGGGTACAGAGTGAATGTGAAAACTTGTGAGAGAAATTGCTTTTCTGGCACAATGGTCAATTATATAGTTTAATGGTTTTTAATTATACAACCATATTTGACCTGGCAATGCAGCAAATGACCATTCAGCTTTGTGGATAATATAGTATAATATATGGGATTGGTAAAAATATTTTGTATGTTTTTTTTTTTGTTTTTTTTTTTATCTCTTGCTCACCAAGGCTGCATTTTTTTATTTTTTTATTTCAAAAATACAGTAAAAACTTAAATACTGTGAAATATTATTACAATTTAAATTAGATGTTTTATATTTGAATACACTTTAAAATGTAATTTATTCCTATGATGGCAAAGCTAAATTTTCATCATCATTACTCCAGTCTTCAGTGTCACATGATCCTTCAGAAATCAAGCTGATACGCTGCTCAAGAAACATTTCTTATTATTATTTTTATTGTTGAAAAGAGTTAATACTTTTTGGAAACCATGATACATTTTTTGTTCAGGATACTTTGATGAATATTCCATCTCCCTTAGATCTTTCATACATGGCAGGTGTGTCAGAGTCTCTGTATGATTCCGCATCTATTTGTGGATTCTTGAAGAGGCTGTAGAGCATGTATCTGGTATTGATTTCTCCATATTTACTTCTCTCTCACAGCCTCTCTCTGGACCAGGGAGCATCAGCATCAGGAAAGGTGAGTACTTTGTAAATATATTTGAACACGATGTTCTTAACTGTTTGGTTTCAGCAGTGTTAAAAGAGTGAGCTAAATCGTGAAGGTGATTTTTGAAGTACTCTTGGCAAATCCTGGTGGTCTTCAGACTGTACTCATTTTATTCTCATTATAGAGCTGTCTTTCTCTGAAAACCCATAAGGGTCATTTTTACTATGCTGTACATTTTCATATCCATGTCATTTTTGTCTTAATTAGGCCTGTCAAATGATTCAAAATGTAAAATAAATTCATCATTTGACGAATTCAATTCAGTTCAATTCACATTTATTTGTATTGCGCTTTTTGCAATACATATCGTTTCAAAGCAGCTTTACAGAAAAATAGATAATAAATTACTGAATATAAATTCATATTTAAATATGTTAATAAAACAGTATATTACATGTAATACATCATATTTCACATAAAGGTATGGACTTTTATGTTGCATACATCTTGACAAAAATTAAGAAATTGTTGTCACTATAAGATATTTATAACAAAACAACTCTAAAGGTGTAGTCTGTCAAGATTAAATAAAGACCACTTTACTGAAAGCTACACTGTGTAACTGTTTTAGTTTATTCTTAGCTAAAAACACTTAGTTCTTTCAAAAATATATGTGCTCATTAATGTATATTTACTTCGTTCAAGTAATAAAGTATTCTCATGAGTTCTAATGTCGGTCGCCATGTTGCACCTCCGTCTTGAAAGTACATTAGCCAAAGAGGGACATATCTATTAATTCAAGCTTCGGCTTTCGCGTATGCGTTTGAGTTAACACTCATGGACGAGGTCGAACTGGAAGCCATTTCAATCTTGGACTGCATTGGCCACCGTAGGAGTTAAAACGAAATCTGAATAGAGAGGAACAGAAACTAATATTCAGTAGATGGTCATATACCTTTTCACCACTAGACTAGGGGTAAAAATCACACAGTGTAGCTTTAAATATAAATAGTTTAATATAAAATAGTCACTGGTGCTCAACTGCATATAAAATATGCAATTCAAATGTATTAATTATATTACATGAATTAAAATTTTAATTATTTGCAGAGCCATTAAATAAAGGAAATTCAAAGACATTACGTTATTAAATATAGATATTGGAAAAGTGCCTTCAGGATTGCCACACTCACACCAAGACACTTGGTAAGTGCCTTAGCTTGACCAAAACATATTTCTGAGACTATGATGTCCCCTTTAAACACTTCCCTACGTTATATAAAAGAAATGTTCATTCTTAAAAAGTTACAGAGTTCAAAAAGTACTGCATAACAGGAATCCCACATAATAAAATGCCTCCAGGGTCTATATATTGTCATTATGCAAATGAGTCAGCCAGCGATTAAGCTGCATAATAGATAAGACTCATGTATTTGCATTACTTTAATAATCTAAAGAACCAGTCCTTGTGTGCTTTTTTTTCTATAATAGCCAGACTAATCAAAAGAATAAATTGAGTCAGAATCACAGATCATGTCATATTTGGACAGAGTCGCTATCATTATTACCGAACCACAAGGTTGATAAGAGAACAGGGCGATTGTGGCTCTCACTCTTGCTAGGCAATCATGCACCTGTTCCCGTACAGTGGCCACAAGGAAAGATGACGGGGGATGTGCGTACGTAATGAGGAGAGCAGGAGAACTGAAAGACACAGGAAGGGTAAGAGATGGAAGAGAATGGGATGAAAGAGGAAGGTGATATCGCTGTAAATTTTCATCTTGGTCAGGGTAAAGAGTGTGTCGGGTAGATGCTGCCAGAAGGCTTTGATCCCCTGGGCATATGGTATCCACGCTGATCTGTATTCAGTCTGGTTTCCTCAAAAGTCTCATGCACTTAACATTCTTACCACCTCCGTGTGTGTGTGTGACTGGTGTAGAGCTAAATTATAATATATATGAGTGAACAGAAAAAAATAGAACGGTCATTTCTGTTATGCAGTACCTTTTGAACTATGACTTGTTGAAAGTGAATATGCTTGTGTAATATAAGAAAGTAGTTCCAGAAAAGCATATACCACACTTTCAGATGCGTGTTATCTTAAACTTTATTATTAATTAGATAATAGCACTAAACTTTGCCATTGCAAGTGACAGATTGAGAATGTTATTTTGACCTTTAACCATTTTTATATTATCATATTGATTTCTATAATTGTTCTGTTGATTTTAGACCAAAGGTAAAGTCAGTTCCCCTGACGATGATGAAATGAATTGGCTTTTGTTAAAGGAGAACTCCAGTGAAAAATGAACCTTTGGTCTAATAAAACACCGGTACCTAGTCAATCGTTCTCTGAGATTTGTTTTCATGATAATCGAATGTAAAGAGTTTTATCTCTAAAAACTGTTTAGCGTATAATGCTAGCACTTGGGGCATTTACTACTGTACGTAAAAAGAAATTGCTTGTTTAGACCACTAACAAGGCTCAAAATAGCCCCACACTAACACAGTAACATAATGAGGGTCCATACATGCCAAACGAGTCAAACAATCGTGGTTTGACTTGTCGAGACTGTTTTCCAAAGATGGCGCCGCCTGTATACATGATGTGGACTGTCTTTATAAAATATCTTCTTATTAAGCGGTCTGTACACTTACAAAGTTCTCAATGCTTCGTTTTGCATGCAGGGACCCTCATTATGTTACTGTGTTAGTGTGGGGCTATTTTGAGCCTTGTTAGTGGTATAAACTAGCGATTTATTTTTACTTAGTAAATGCCCCCAGTTCTAGCATTATACGCTAAACAGTTTTTAGAGATTCGATTTACTCTTTACATTCGATTATCATGAAAACAAATCTCAGAGAATGGTTGACTAGGTACCGATGTTTTATTAGACCAAAGGTTCATTTTGCACCGGAGTTCTCCTTTAAATGTATTTATTTAAACTGACTTGCAGAAGATTAGCAGAATGTAAAGAGATATAAATTATATATCAATTAAAAAAAATTTAATTTGTTTTGTTTGAAACCTTCATTTGGAGAAAGAAAAAATATTAAGAACACCTTTTATTAAATTTTCAGTTTATTACTACAGCACCTGGGGACAAAAATATTAGTTCATTTTGTTGTATGCAAACTAATATGATTTCCATCTTTAAAAATTGTTAGTATAATATTTGATCAAATTATATTTAAGATATCCTATTTCAAAGGATATTCCAAAGATGAAAATTCTGTCGTAATTCCCTCACCTTCAAGTTGTTCCAAAACCTGTATTATTTTATGTATTATGTTGAACATAAAAGAAGATAATTTGAGTAATGTCTGTGATATTTTTTGTCCATACAATGGAAGTCAATGGTAACCAAAACGGCTTGGTGAGAAAATTGACAGAATTTTCCTTTATGACTGAACTTTCCCTTTAAGCTAAATGTTAGAGACCTGACAATGGTCTGCACAACAGGAATTAATAATAGGAGAGTTAAAAAAAATGGACAGAAGAGAGTGCAAGAATGGAAGACGTAATAAAAAGACAGGATAAGAAATAGGCGGTGAGAGTGAGGAGAGGAATAAAAACAGCAAGGTGACCCACCCGATGAACAGGGTTTTACAAGGTCCTCCTCTGTAAGCTGAGGTTTATGCACAAAACAACGGGTTCCTATAAAGCGCGAGCAGTGCATGAACTGATTATTGCATACAGTGGGAATGACAGGCTAAAGGACACAGTTAGATGAAGTGTCTGGGTTCATGTCTGTGGGCTTTTGCAGTAAACTACTTACTTTGTATTCCAAAGACTCATAGCACTGCGATGCTTCGAAGGACATTGATAAGTTACATACATCCGTTTTTGCGAGAAAGGCACAGTCAGCCATAAATCACTCCTGATCTGTAGACATAAGTGTATAATTGTACGTGGACATTCGTGAGTTATGCAGTTCCTATGAAATAACATTAAAATTACAGTTATTATTTTAATTACTTGAGTTATTCTTAGTAGCGGTATAAAAGCACACGTTGCTTAACACAAATATTTATACATTAATGATATTTTTGTGGTTCTACATGAAATCGTTTTTTAGTCTTTCAGTTCCCTAAGAAGATTTCCAAGTGTTTGTCTGCAGAACGATCCAAGCATATAAATTAATAATCACATAAATGCTTCATTATGTTTTCATCAGTATACATTTAAAGCTCCCTGTAAACACTTAATAACTGGGAAAGTAATTGCTTGTAGCTCAATGGGGGACGAGGGGCGTTGATTAATTGTAGGTCACATGGAGCAAGTTAAGCATAAATGGAGCAAACACAGAAAATCACAATGTTGTTTTTCAGAAACTTTAGTGAAAACTAATTTCTGATTCAGATATTTGTGAGTGAGTTCACTTCTGATTGTAATTGACACTTTCTGCCAAATTTAACACTCACAATGCTCACAAAATAAAAAATCATAAACTGTCTCGGTCATATGAGAGAACTTGGCAATAGTCTCCTGCAATAATATAATTATTCTGCCTCAGAAGTTTTCTGCTGTTGTGTGCTGAAGTTTTTTAGCTTATTTAAAGGCCAAAATTCCTTGCTGTGTGACCTTGTCAAATCTTCGCTGAGTAAGGCACTTATTTCCATTGCCTGATGTGAAATCTCTATATATCCCAAGCGAGGCTTACGTTGTTCGACGCCTGCCCCGTCCTTGCCAACTCATTGGCGCTTAAACCCATTTCAGCGGCCCTCATTTTGAAGCTGATTGAATTCTCTAAATTGACATTGCCCTTTTAAAGGGATACTCCGCTTTTTTTTTGGAAATAGGCTCATTTTACAACTCCCTCAGAGTTAAGCTGTTGAGTTTTACCTTTTTTGAATCCATTCAGCCGATCTCCGTTTCTGGCGGTACCACTTTTAGCATAGCTTAGCATACATCATTGAAGTGCACAAGACCATTAGCATTTCTCCCAAAAAAAATTACCAAAGTGTTTCGATATTTTTCCTATTTAAAACTTGACTCTTCTATAGTTACATCGTGCACTAAGACAGAC